TCTCAGGCGTCACGATCCTCATTGCTCTAAGATGCATTCTGTTTATAAAGACGAATGCTGCAGCTGTGTTTAATGAGCTGTTACAAAAGGAAACCCAACAACAAAAACTGCGCGTTGCCGTGGAGTAGACTTCGCGTCACGGGGCGCCTCTGTGGAGCAGGGTAGGACCCCTGCAGTCTTGGAGACTCTGTGTTGCGCATAGAGTTGTGGAGACTGGTGCAGGGCTGTCCTTTGCACTTGGCACGATAGTGACCTTTCAGAAGCAGATCGCGAGGCCTTCTGAGTGCGGCCGGCAATGTTGGAACAGCCACCGTCTCAAGCAGAAGTCTAGTGCCTACCATTCGCATCTTCCGGTATCCGGAGGATTCTCTTGCTTCAAAATGGATTTGATGGCAACTGTAAAACCCCACCGCACGACTGGCATCGAGTGGGTTTCACCGCATGGTGACCTGAAAGGATGGTGTAGAATTGCCACACAAGTAGGGAGTTTTTGAATATTATAAATCTTCCAATGAACTCAATAGCTTTAAATACAAGGCCAACATAATGTACACATTTGATACAAACTGTATGATTTCCATCACCACTGAGTTGATTCCAACTCATAGTGTCTATGGGACAGAGTAGAGCTGTCTAATAGTGTTTCCAAAATTACAATCTTTGTAAAAGCAGACTGCCACATTTTTCTCCTGGTGAGTGTGAATCCCCTGCCTGTTGGTTAGCAGCAGAATGATTAGCCTCGGCACCACTAGGGATCCATTCCATGTCAGAATATTACCAGAAAGTAATTTCACCGTAGAATGTTTAATGACGACAGTTGTGACATGGAAGAACTGTTCGGTGTTCTTTACTAATGCAAGTTATCATGGGGCCCATGTCAAGAGCTTACAAATAAGAGTATAAAACAATGAATGGTGGTCTGGACATTTTTGCCAAAGTGTTAGTGTATTCTTGAATGATACAAAGTAAAATTTTTAAATCATTTTATTAGGGGCTCATACAACTCTTCTCACAATCCATACATACATCAATTGTGTAAAACACATTTGTACATTCATTGCCCTCATCATTCTCAAAACATTTGCTCTCCACTTAAACCCTTGGCATTAGCTCCTCATTTTCCCCCCTCTCCCCGCTCCCCCCTCCCTTATGAACCCTTGATAATCTATAGATTATTATTTTGTCATATCTTACACTGCTCTATGTCATGATACAAAGTAAATTTAAAATGAATATGGGTTCACATTTATTTCTGGGTTTCTTCATTGATCCAGGGGCAGTGAATTATTTAATGTGGCATTCCCACCCAATGACTTAACATGCTTGCATGTGGTTTACAATGTGAAAAGGGACACATAGAATTCACCTGTGAGTAATTATAAATAGAATTCATTGAAATGCCATATGACTGGGTATAAAAGGAGCCCTCTGATAAACAGGAGAGGTGATTTCACTACCAGCAAAAGTGAGGCATGTCCTCTGCACCCTGAGATCCCTGCACAGTGAACATCCGAATCCAGAATACAACGGTGACATCAGAGGAACAGCAGAAGAGCATGGGACTGAGTGGTGAACTTCGTGGCCTATTGAACATGGAAAGCCGGTGCTTTGGTGCAGGTGGCTGATCTGTGGTGTTCCGTGCCTCAGGACTCTTAATTAGGGGGATTGGACTTGCTGACCAATGGAGGTGGAGTTGAGTGCCCTCAAGTTGAGGCTTTCTGGAGTGGAGTGCCTCTGGGCACTTAATTCAGGAAGCTGGATTCTCTGAAACTGAAGGTGGAGCTTAATGCCTTTAGGTTGAGTCTTACAATGGAGTGGTATGCCCTTTGGGCATGATTAGCAGCTTTGAAAGAATGTTGTAATGTGTCCTGATGAACAACAATTATGAGTATTTCTCACATGCATCACAACCTATCAATTTCCTTAATAAACCCTGTAACCATTAATATTGTCTGTGACTTCTGCGTAGCCATTGCAATGAATATTAGAAAGGAGATGAAAAAGTAGAGAATGATGTTTGAGATGGGGCACAATGATTGAGGAGTATTTTAGATGTGTTAGTGTCGACAACTTTGTGAGTGCTGTGTTTCTGCTAAAATCTCTGTATTCCATTTGTAAAGATGCCTAGGACCTTGAAAGCCATTGCCAAGTGTTACGAGGGCTAATTACATTTCTCGGTGTTTAAAGGACCATTTAAAAATCAGGAGCCGAGTCATATAATGCAAAGAACATTAGAGTAGAAGCCACATTTTCTGTATTATGTTGGCTACTTTCACTAACTGGCTATGTAAATTTAAACTCTCTAGGGTCTCAATTTCTTCTACAGTGAACTAAGCATCTTAGACTAGTGATCATTAATGTTTTTTACAATGCTAAAATCCTGTGATTAGCATTCCCTCTATTTCATCCAGGTTTAAATTTTATCCTAAAGCATCTGCTATTCACATAAGGAATATGAGTTGTGAGAACTGAGCTCACCTGTGTCAATATCATTTAACTCTTTGTTCCAGGGAATTCTTGTCTAGGCGGAACCGGAAAGCCCTAGGGACCCGGAGGGTG